TGAAATCATAAATTAATCTGCATTTCACTCTTATTGCACATATGGCGACACTCTGGGGGAACTGAACCTAGGACCTCGTATGTGCTAGGCAAGTGCTCTGCCGCGAAGCTCCAGCCCCACCGTGCTTTGTTTTCCAGTCAGAACAAAGACAGGGAAAGTGAAAGTGGGGGACACCGCCCACTCAAACTGGGATTCCTGGGTCCTGCGTTCTTGTTTCTTAGGAGCCCCTCTCCTGCTTTCCATTGCGGCTGCACTGATTTACATCTCCACTAACAGTGCCCACCGGAGTTCTAATTTCTCTACGTCTTCACTTGCTATTTCGTTTTTGACGGCAGCCCTCTGTAGTTTTGATTTGCATTTGCCTGAGTAGGAATGTTGAGCATCATTTTGCACGCCTGCTGGTCATTTATCTGTATACCTTCTTCGAAGAACAATCTGTTCAGTCCTTTGCCTACTTTTCAGTCAGATGGTTTTCTGCTGAGTTGTAGGAGTTTTACATATACTGGATATTGCTAATTTGATACTCGACTTGCAAATATTTTCTTCCATACATTTTCTTTGCCTTCCACTGATGTTTTTCCCCTTATGCTGTGCAGCTTTTTAGTTTGATGTAAACTCACCTGTTTTTGTTCCCTGTGGTTACGTGTGTGATATCCAAATTACTGTCATGACCAGTGTTACAAAGCTTTCCCCTACGTTTTTTGGAAATTTTCAGATCTTACTCTCCTCCCCTCACCCCCAATACTGTAAATTGAGTGAGGGCCTTTATACTGAGCTATGTCTCTGGTCCCTTTGTCTTTGTCTGAGACAGGGTCTTGCTAAGGTGTGAAACTGCCCAGGCTGAACAAAGGATAAATTTGAGTCATTAGTCGAAAATGGATGTACCTTGTGACTGTAACGTTACATGAAATAGACCATACACACAAGCTTGAATATTGTACGGTTTCTCTTACATGAGAAACTCAAAGTATAAATAAAAAGTAAATTAAAAGATAGATAATGTCAACTAGGAAGCAAGATCCCCTGCAGGTGGGAAGGGAAAGCAGAGCTGGAGGAAGCGAGAGGGAAGTGAGCAAGGGGCAGTGGTAATAATTACGGTGTTTTATATCCCAGCCCCTAACAGTGAATGTATCCCATACATGGTGCAAATGTATAAAAATATAAACTGCCCCGCTTGGGCTTGAATCTGTATGCCTCCTGCCTCACCTCCCAGAGTGCAGGGATGGACAGGCCTGCTCCACCCTGCCCAGCTCATGTCTTCAGCCCATTTTAAGTTGATTTCTCTGGACAGTATTAAGATAGTCATCCACTGTCATTCTGCATTTGTACATTCAATTTTCCCAACATTTGTTGAATAAATTTTAGGTCTTTCTGTTTTTTTGCTGTTCTCCTTTGCTTTTCTACTTCTGTGTGTTGGAAAGGCCTTCCTTACCACAAGATCATAAAAGAGATCATTTTCTTTATACTTCATGATTTTATTCATTTACTTGGTTTTTTGAGACAAAGTCTATGTATCCCAGCCAGTACTCATACCTCAGCCTCTCAAATGCTGGGATTACAGGTATGCACTGCCACACCTGTAGTACTTTGTGATTTTATTGCTTTACATGTAAACCTTTAAGTTTGTCTCTCTCTTAAAAATAAAGCATATTCAATTGTCCTACGCCATTTCTTGGAAAACCTAATTTTCCCTTTATTTCTAGTGAGGGGTTCCTTATAGCTATGAGTAACAAATACACAGCCCAAAGTGGTTGAACGGTGTAACTACTCTCGTGTTGCTGAGACAAAACGCCTGCTGACACCATGACTCAGAGCAGCAGAGGTTCACTTTACTGATAGTTTCAGAGATTGCAGTCCAAGCAGAAACATCATGAAGGAAGGGTGTGGTAGAGGAAAGCTGCCCGAGTATGACACCTAGGAAGCAAAATTCGAGAGAAGAACACAGGAGGAAGGTGGCAGGGGATCTGTAGCCCCCCAGGTCATGCAAATGACCTACCCAAGTAGCACCTAGAAGAATGCTTTGCTGATGTGGCCATCCCAAGCCAAACAAGACAATCACCACACCCAGCTCTAAAAAAATTCTTAAAGTTTTTACTTCATGGTTTCAGTAAAATGTTTTGCAAGCCAGGCGTGGTGGTGCACCCTGGTAATCCCAGTACTCAGGAGGCTGAAACAGGATAGCCTTGAGTTTGAGGTCAGCCTGAAAAAAGTTTTTTGTGGTTCATTTTATTATAAATCACCCTTTTTAGTTTGGAATCTTCATCTAGTTTTTTTGGTGTGTCTATCACCCCTTTCCACAGTACTTCCTATCAAATATATGCACAAGGGTGTTTTGTTTTGTTTTATTTTGTTTCGTTTTGAGGCAGGGTCTCACTATGCAGTTCAGTCTGGCCTTGAACTCACTTTGTAGCCCATGCTGGTCTCGAACTTGTAAAGATTCTCCTGCCTCAGCCTCCCAAGTGCTGGGATGACAGGCATGCGCCACCACGCCCGGCTAAACAAGGGCAGTCATGGAATGGGAAAAGAAAGGCATAGTCAAAGCACAGACACCCCAAAATGTAAAGTTCTCACAAAATCTTATGATACCTGCTTAAGCCAAATAAGTAAGTAAGAGAAGAGGTGCTGAGACAGGTACTAGATGAATACTGACCCCAACCCACAGAAAAGATAGGATCCAATGAATATTGGTCTAATTATCTACCCTTCACCTTTGTGGAAGAGTAAAAGAATAAAAATCTTAGAACATTCGCTAGGACTTCCATGCACGGGGAGAAGCTGACAGTCAAGAGTAAGTAATAAATCAGGTATGCTGTGCTGTGGTGTGCACCCCTGTAATCCCAGCACTCTGGGAGGCTGAAGCTGGAAGATCACAATTTTGAGCCCAGCCTGGGTAATTTAGAAACTTAGCAAGACTTTGTATCAAAATAAAAACGGCTGGGGATATAGCTCACTGCAGAGGTGCTGGGTTCAATCCCCAGTACAAAAAAATAAAACAAAAATTCCTCCCAACACACCTAAGATGCTTTCACTCTAGAATCACTGAAATCATAAATTAATCTGCATTTCACTCTTATTGCACATATGGCGCTCTCAAGAATGAAAATGTATTAAAATGAAATTAAGTGTTCAAGCAATTTAAGGTCATGTTTGTATTTTTATATTTACATGCACACACATACACACAATGTATACATGAAGTCCTTACACAGTCATAAAAATAAATTATAAGCAACAAAATAAAAAGTTAAACTTAATTTAGTGTATTATTTGCTTTTTAAAAGTAACTGAAACAGACTCACATTTTATCTACCCAGCGTCAGTCACTCTAAACACCAACGATTCTGGCTGGTGCCTGTTTTTCTCTGTGCCACCAAAACAGACCCTACATTACAGCTGTGGCTATCACTCCAAGTAAGTAAAACATATTTAAGATACATTTTGGTGTCCAGTTATTTGAAATCAAGCTTCCATTTTGAACAGTTTCATTAAAGTTTATCCCGTGGTAGAATGACCCTTTATCTGCTTTAAGTTGGTCTGCATTAAATTGATAACATATACCCTCACTCCTGTACAAACATCCAACAGTGTAATTAAATCGTTACTACTTGAAATGCTTTACACATGAATAATTTATGTCTTTACACTGTGGAAGTCTTGCATTTCAGTACGTTTATAGCTTCTGTATCATCACCTGAAATTTACCTAAAAAAGAAAACAAAAATCATTTTTTAATTTTAGGTACAAAGAAAGCCTACTTTTTTGTTCGTCATCAATTTTTTTGTTCAATTTAAAATATTATTTCTCAGGGCCTGGTGGCACATGCCTATAATCCCAGCACTTGGGAGGCTGAGGCAGGAGGATCCTTGCAAGTTTGAGGCCAGCCTGGGGCACAAAGGGAGCTCAAGGCCAACCTGAACTGCATAATGAGACCCTGTCGCAAAAAAGCAACAAAACACAAAATTTCAATTAAGAAACTTGTCAGGTCAAACATCTTTGCCCACTCTTTACAATATCAAATAGTCAATTCCATTTTTATTATATGATTTCCTGGCTTGTAAATGGGTGCCTTTGTTTCTTTTTGTGATTCCTACCTTCTGGGTGTTTCATTGCTAATAATCACCAAAGCTCAAGTAAATCTTACATTTACTTGGTGAGGGGAATCTGTGGGAAGGAGTTTAATAAACTAGTGGGCTTTACTTAGCATCATATAATCGATATATTCTAAACAACTGCTCAACAATAAAAGACATTTCAATACTATAGTGAAAGCTGCTATAATAAAGGAACACTGTCAGGGCAGAGGGTACAGTTCAGTAGTACGTCCTTTGCTAGTATGTGTAGGGTCCTGGTTTGACTTCCAGTGCTTCAAAAAGAAATCCAAAAACAAAAAAAAACTGCAGAAAAATGTTCCCTTAAAAGCTGAAATTCCCTTAAATTGTCTTACAAATTTGGATTTCTTTAGTGGATTTTCATATATCACTCTTTTTGTCTGTTTTTTGGGGTTTTTGTTTTTGTTTTTGTTTTTTGAGACAGGGTCTCTCTATGTAGTTCAGGCTGGCCTCAAACTCAAGGTGATCCTCCTTCCTCAGCCTCCTGAGTGCTGGGATTACAGGTGTACGCCACCACACTCAGTTTAAATCACTCATGAATTCAAAAATTCCTGAATATGCTATCACATGCTACGTAGTATTCACTAAATGTTACGTTAATGACGTGAAAAAGTTTCAACATGAAACTACTCAACAGACCCTACATTCCATCTGTGGCTATCATCTGTGGCTAACATGAATTACTAACATGAAAAAGTTTCAACGTTTTTTAATGTCCTCTATGTTTTAAAGAACTTTTAAAAAAAACCCACACGTGAAAAATATCACTAAAAATACTTGTCAGAAATGTGAACAGAGGCTGGGGATTTAGCTCAGTGGCAAAGCGCCTGCCTGGCAAGCGCAAGGTCGTGAGTTCAATTCCTCGTACGGGAAGAAAAACAAAACAAAAAAAACAACAACAATAAGAAATGTGAACGCAACTTACAAGCAGGCATTGAAGACACTTCAGCAGTTACAATACTTTTTATTCCCAAGTTTGATAAACCACCTCTGATTAAGCCACATGTAAATGCTAGATACTAAAAGAAAAAAAATTATTGAAAAAAAACCAGTAAAATTACCAAGTTACAACATTCTAGTTAAACCATGGTATCAATAAGTCACTGCTGTTTAAGAACCAGGAAGTTATGAAAAGCTTGGAGTCATGATACACACATGCCCGTAGGGTGAGGCAGGTCACCTGAGCCAAGGAGTTCAAAGCAAAAAAAGGAAAATGGACGGGGGAGGAGAGGTGTGAGGAGGGGAAAGGGTGGACACATGACTGAAGTCTGGCCAACCAGGTGCTCCAATCCAGTGAGTAACGTACAGGCCAGAAAACCGGGCAGAGTAGTTCTGGAGACAGGAAAGCGAGCTTGTGTCCCCTGTGCACGCTGCCTACAGGGCCCTAACTAGACCCTGCCTGGAACAGCGCTTTGGGTTGTCTCCTGGGTGCTTTCACCTCCTGTGTTTCTCGCCTGTTTTCTGAGTCTTCTTATCAGTCCTGTAAGGTACTAACATTCCATTTAACCACAGCTGGTTTCCACTACCTACCACCAAGCATCTCTATTTGTTCCACACTTACAGCTCCCACAACACAGAAATATCAACGTAAGTGTTGGGGTGCAGTGCTGCAATCCCCAGCCCTTGGGAGGACAAGACAAGTGTGAGCTCAAGGGCAGCCTGCGCGACATGCAGTGAGGCCCTGTCTCAAAAAGCCGGAAAAAATCACAATGAATGTAACCATTATGTACTGCAAACGTGTACCAATAAAAATTTTTTAACAATCAAATGAGGTATTAGTAAAAAAAATCATAAAAATGTAAGAGTCTAGATGCCCCCAAAATACAGAAAATAAGCAATCATGAATCAGTGAAATAAAATTATGAAAAGCAAGGATCACACCCATCTCTTGTCCTCCCTCCTATGAACAAAGCATCACCTTCACTTTCTTTGTTTCTTTGAGATAAGGTCTTGCTGTACTGCCCAGCCTGGCCTCAGGCTCCTGGGCTCAAGAAAACCACCCTCCACCCCCCACCGCCTTACTCAACCTCCTGAGCAGCTGAGCTGAGCTGTGCCTGTGGCTTACTTACTTTCAGTACTGGGCATTGAACCAGGGAGCACCCCCACCCTCATATTTTGTTGGATTTGGGGGGATGGGGGTGCTAAAATTTTAAGACAGGGGCATCTTAATAAACAGCGCAGGCTGGACTTCAACTTGTGATCCTCTTGCCTCAGCCTCCCAAGCAGCTGCAGTTACAACTATCTGCCACCATGTCCAGCATGTTAAATACTTTAAATACACATGACTCTCAAGACAATCATTTAATTGTAACTACACTTTTTGTTAATAAGAAAACTAGGTTCAGAAGAGTTATGTAACTTACTCTATGTCACAAATCTCTAAATTGTAAAGCTTAGGCTTAAGACCTAAATTTATTTACTCCCATGACCATAATTGCACTATAATTATACTGCTTTTCTGTTAGATCTTGTCTTTGTTTTGAGACAGGGTCTCACCAAGTTGCTCAGGCTAACCTCAAACTAGCAATCCTCCTGCCTTAGCCTCCCAAATTGCTGGGTTTACAGACAAAAACCTCCTTGCCCAATACTGCGTTTTGGCCATGTAATCTAGAGAGGGAGAATTTTTTACAGATAAACAGCAATTTATACTAGCCTAAATATTTTAATCACCTCAAAGAAATCCTTACATTAAAACTTGCTAGATAGCCAGGCGTGGTGGTGCATGCCTGTAACCCCAGCACTCAGGAGGCTGAGGCAGGAGGATCGTCGCAAGTTCGAAGCCAACCTGGGCTACAAGTGAGCTCAAGGCCAGCCTGAACTGCCTAGCAAGACTCTGTCTCAAAAAGACAAAAAATAAATAAATAAATAAAACTTGTTAGATTTCTTTAATACATCTATTTACTTGCTAATTTCTACAAGAAAACAAAAACTACACAAAACCTAGAAATACAGATATATACTTAATATGAAACATATTTTTAGAATCAAATGCTAATTATATTTTAAATGTTTTAATCTACTAAAAGACATCACAAATTCAGAGATGCGTAACTGTGCATAAGAAATATCAGTTTTTAAGTTTACTGATATATCTATGCTATATTAAAGAATACTATAAATCTGCATTTACTGGTGTTTAGTAGAGGTGTTTCTTTTTTTTTTTTTGGTCCTTTTGAGACAGGATCTCGCTATGCAGTTCAGGCTGACCTTGAGCTCACTTTGTAGCCCAGGCTGGCCTCAAACTTGCAACGATCCTCCTGCCTCAGTCTCCCAAGTGCTGGGATTACAGGTGTGCACCACCACACCTGGCAGTAGTAATGTTTCTTTAGTTGCTATGGGCCTTCAGTACAGCTTAGTATATATAACTCATCATGAGCATGTCTCCTATTTTATAGAAAATGGTTATACAAAAAAGTACTACTCTAAAACTAGTATTTTTAATTTGAGAGTCTGTTGTGACTGCCATTGAAATCTTCCCTGTAATTCTTCTCATTTCTTAGTAGAAAACTCAAATCATCTATTACATTAAATACCTTAGATGCATGCTCTAAATACTGTTTTCCCGCAGACATCTGAGTAAGCAGACGAAATTTGTTGTCCTGAAGTACATAGATGCCCTATTTCAAAAATACACAAAACACCTAAGTCAGTGTAGTCTGTACTCGTTAAACATTATTTTATTCCTATAAAACAATTTAAGATCTTTATAAACTTATTAACATTCTCTATTTCCTTGGCCAATTTTTCTTTCTTTTTGTTTTTTCTTTTTCATTTGAGACAGGATCTCATTCTGTAATTCAGGCTGATCTCAAACTCTGAGTACTGGGATTAGAAGCATGTGCCACCATGCCCAGCTCAATTTTTTAAGTTAATTTTGCAATGTTCAAACTGAAGAGTTGTGAGTTCAGCCAGGCATAGTGGCACACGCCTGTAATCCCAGCACTACTGGGGTGGAGGCAGGAGGATCCCTGTGAGTTCAA